CTGGCATGGGATCCACTTCGACCCCAGAGAGTTTTAGTCACTGTAGAATGAACATGAGGTTCATTAGTCACAGGTTCATTACCCTACTAATATATATATATATATATGTATATATTAGTCCCTAAGGTTTGTTGGTCCTGTGGGCATATTCAGATGCAGTGCTTGAAACTCGTACTGCCCTGAGGCGCCAGCCCCTAGCATCTCCGAGGCGGAGTGGAACCTCATCAAGGTGCGCGAGCGGGAAGTTCTGCACTGGTCCGTTTCTGCAACGTTGGTTGCCCACCTGCGCAGTGCAATGGAAGGCAGTGCTTGATTGAGTGGCAATTCGACTCATGCCCGTCTCGTGCCAGCATTGGTCGCTGAAGACTCCAGGGAAGAGGGTGGAGGCTGGGTACAAGCGGGCAAGCTGCTGTGGATCTCAATGTGATGAGGTGGTTGTGCAATCAATGAGGCTGAGGCTTCTCAAGGTCGCGAGTCTTTGTGTGTTGGTTTGCCGGTTGAAGCGCCAGCGCAGAGCGATTTTTTCCCCAGTGAGCTGCTTTTGTTTGGAGGTCTCGAAGAAGGATCAGCTGGCACGGAGCGAGGTGGGCTGCCTTGTCGGCACAAGAGAGAGATAGAGAGAGATGGAGAGACAGAGAGAGAAAGAGAGAGAGAGAGAGAGAGAGCGATAGAGAGAGATGGAGAGACAGAGAGAGAAAGAGAGAGAGAGAGATGGAGAGACAGAGAGAGAGAGAGAGCGAGAGAAAGAGAGCAATACATGTCGTACATGTGTGGTTGTGATGCGTTTCTGTGTGTTGCTGTTTGCTGCGTTTGTGTTCTTGAAGGTTGGTGTGTGTGTGTGTGGTTGGTTGGCTGGTTCGTTGGTTCGTTGGTTCGTTGGTTCGTTGGTTCGTTGGTTCGTTGGTGTGTGTGTGTGTGTGTGTGTGTTGTAGTTGCGTTTATGTGTGCCTTTGTCTTGTGTCTATGTTTGAGTCTGTGTGTGTGTGTGCACGTGTTTGTGTGTGTTTGCGCATGTTTGCACATGCGTTTGTGTCTGTGTGTGTGTGTGTGTGTGTGTGTGTCCGTGTTTATGTGTATGTGTGTATGTGTGTATGCGTGTATGTGTGGTGATTGTGTGCATTTGTGTATGTGTGCGTGTTTAGTTTTGCTTGCTTGCTTGATTTTCCGGTTGTATGGTTGTTTGCTTGCTTGTTTGTCGGGCTGTGTGTTTGCGTCGTTGCGTGTGTGTTCTTAGTGTGATGGACATGTTTAGCCTGTTCTCGCTGCCTGGTGCACTTGTTTGAAGGGCATAGGCTTGCGGCCGTTTGGAGAGTTGCAAGAAACATCAGCGGAGCTGTGACTAGAGACGCGCCGCTGGAACCGAAGACAACCAAAAATAAGGAGAAACAAATTACACAATCCTTTCCGTCAGATATGTTTGGAGCAAGCCAGTTAGAGCAGGTTTTTGTCTTCCCGCTCAAGCAACAGTGTCCAGAGGTAGTATTATGAACAAACAAGGTAGCACCACACTGCAGCCGCAAAAGGTTCACAGAAGACATTGCGAAAGGATTTTTCCCGCGGAAGTTGTGGCAGAGACAGCAGCGAACAGTGGATTGATTCCGTCTTGTGTAGTTTTTGCCAAGCACAGTGCATTACAAATCGTGCACACGAATGACCTTCCTCAGTTGCCAGAAGCAACTTGCTCGCGGAAGATACTCTTCACACCGCAGACGGTTTCGCGGAAGGAGCCCATCCGCTCAAATTTAACTGGAATGAACACCACTTGATTGGTTTGAGCTCTGAAACAGCAGAAACCAATCATTGCAGAGTTTGCACCGCTTTGCAGTCCTAGCGAATCATTGGTTGCGTATTAGTTGTCCAGGAAACGAAAGGCAGAGGGCGCCCTGATTCCATTGCAGCCGTGTGGTTTCGTCATGAACGCATTGCGCAGACGGGTTGCTGAATTAGCGCGGAGAGAAAGCACAAGTAGATATCAGAGAAGTTTGGTGCAAATGGTTTTAAAGAGAGATTGCGAGGTTGCAGAGATGTCAATTAAGGCACTTTGTTTTGTTGAGACAGCGAAGTTGGAAAATCCCGACAGTTTTTGCGTCCGTTGCGAGGCGGCTCACCGTTGTACTTGTGAGGCAGTGTTGCTGCCCACACGACTCTCTGAGTGGATCTTCAAGAAGCTGAATGCAGTGCTGCGATTTCCGCACAGCCTTCTACGTGGATTGCGGAGGTCAACGCGCAAAATCCGAAGGAAGCACAACTTGCAATTTTAACCTTGAAAATGCAACTTGGGCTGTTGCGCGGATAGATCTTTAAACTTATTGCGGATGCATGATGTATGGAGATGTCGCGGGGAGACTGGGCGCTGCAAGCATGCTTGCAGGGGCAGCGCTGTCAGGGATTTGGGATCGGTGAGAGCTGCTTTGTTCGCACGGTGCTCACCAATCACAACACTAAGCGTTTGTGCTGCATTGCCGCTGTTTCACTTCCACGCAAACAGCGTCTTTGCACGTGTTCACTGCTTTGAGGCCACCTAGCTGCTAGTTTTACTGCAGTGATTTGCAGTTTTAGTTTGAAGTGATGAGCACGTTGCAATCCTGTTCGTTGGCTAGCTGCCGGAGAAATGGTTGCTTTGCAGGGTGTCTTTGATGAACACAAACACGCGCACTCACACCCAGCCTGAGTTTATTGACAAATCCGCCTGAGTTTTCACACTACTTTGTTCGCAGGCGCGTCAAGCGAAGAGAAAGTCTCTGGTTGCAGGTGTTGCCACATGCATCAAGATCCAAGCGTAAAAGAAGCTAGCTGGCTGTTTTACGCTCTCACAGTAGGCAAACAGGCATAAGATGCTTGCGCTTGCAGTGAGGTCCCGGAGCCTGATGCTTCGCCTTCGGAGGCTGAGGCCGATGGGCCGATTCTGAGCAGGATAGGTATTCAAGCAATGACTTGCAAGGACTCCTTCTCAGTTGGCGAAAGGCTTGGATGAGCAGCTGCGGCTCTGTCTGAATACCACTTGGCAGATGATAAAACTATGTTTGTTTTCTTTGAATGTTTTGTTCTCTTTCTCATTCCTGCTCAAGGACAAAGTGCCTTGAATTCTCGTCGCATGTGACAGACTCGGCATCCGCCCTCGCTAGCCGCGCCCAAAACCCCCACTGGCAATTTGTTGGTACTGTAGATGGTTCTACTACCTGGTTTCATGCGGTGTACAGTGAAGCATAGATATGCTGTACTGTGTATATATATATAATATACATAACATATACCCCTCCACCCATATTGGTAGAGAAAAAGGTCAATGGGTTGCGGGCACTCCTCAGTTGTGTTTGCCTTGTCCAACATCTCAGTTGACTGCCTGGTTGCCCGTCGCGCTGCACACATGTGCGGATGGAACACAAGCTCCTTGCTGTTGCTTGCGCCAGCCTGGATGTGTTGTGTTGCCACTGACAAACGCAAGCCCACAGCAGTTCATTTGTTCCATAGTGTTACTGCTTTGACCCATTGGTGGGGAGATTATTTGATGAGAATTGTGCAGTGCATTTGTGAAGTTCTTTGCATGCACAAAGGACGGCCCTTTGACTTCCTCTAGCTCGCAGGTAGAAACCTGCAGCTCCGCCGCTTGTTGGCATTTCACTAGGTTGATGCGACTGCAACTAGTTTTGCATTTCAGATTGTTTGTAGGCATTTCTTGGTCATAAAGGGGTGACGCTCCAGGAAAGATGGCGAGTACTTACGTTTGAAGCGCCGCGCCGTAAAGCGCTTGTGTTTGAAGACCGAGAATGCCTTTGTGCGGGTGGTTATGGCGAGGCAGGTCGCGCAAGAGCTGCCCTTGGCAATGTGATACTTAGGATCCTGAAGGCCAAGCCAATGCTGCTTAGCTCCCATTAGGGCGCATGCAAGAGAAGAGAGAAACACAGGTGAGCGAAGGTTTGCCGCCCACTTCTTCTTGATGCTTGATTGACATGGTCGCTCGTTTACGTAGTGTTCTGAATTCACTGACATGCTGAAGAGAGTGAGACTATCCTAAGCTGCAAACAAGGCTTCTTCGCGTTGAACAGGATCGAGCCGCGAGAAACCACTGCTGTTCTTTCATTGCCGTTATTCTGGGGACTGTGGGCGTGTTGCTGCAGAATGCGTGGAGTGAGTGCTCAATGACAATGGCTTAAGTTGGATACGCTGAGGACCTTGGTCATCGAACCCAGGCGAGGCCTCGAGTTCCGACGAGCCTGTGGCTAAGTAACGCTATCGTCAAAGGAAGTTCAGTGCTCCTTTCTTTGCAACTCGCTCTCAAGGCCTTTTTGGGATGGGCCCCTTCTGGCGCATGGCGCTTCCATATCTGCAAACGCAGAGGACCATACATCGAGCCGAATACTCTCAAGCACGAACGAAGGATACACCTTCTGTCATGAGAACAGCCTCCTAGAGTCAATCATTGTTGGATGCGCTTGGGGACAAAGGGACCTGGGTGAGCGTAAGTTGGAAGCGGACTTCGGATATCCTTTTCGTGTTCATATCCAGGGTGGCACTCTGCGTGAGCTTATGGATGTTGCACAGTAAAAAGGGCACAGTAAAAGGTGTGGTATGTGAAGATCCATGTTCTGCCCTTATACCCCTCTTTGCTCAATAACAGGATCTGCTGGTGAGATTGCGTGTTGGTGGCCAGAGTCGTTTGGACATTGCAGGGGCTGCACGAGGAAGCATTGAGCGTGCTGCAGGACAAGCAGACCTGGATGCATGCTTGTCCGGTCGGCTTGAGACTTCAAGAAGCGTCTGCTTTCAGTGGTTTAGGAGGATAAGTGTGAAGCTTCGAAAAGCGTCTACTTGCAGTGGGTTAGGAGGATAAGTAGAAAGCGCAGCAAACTGATCTGTGTGTTGGTCCAGCGCAGGACCTCAGCCATCCGCAAAGCGGCCTGGATGGCCCGTTTGCCCAGAGTGAGCGACATCGCACCACGTCGGACGTGCCGGGGCAAGGTGGGAATTTTCTGAGCTTAAAATATCTGGGAGGCTGATGAGGCTGGGGAGGCATGCTGTTTTAGCCGGGGAGCCAGCAAGGGTGCAGTCTTTTCACTCAGGTGGACGCTTCTGTACTTTCCTGGCTTTCAAGAGTGAGTATTAAGGTCACGCTTGCTCCATGATTTGTAACGTGTACTATGCGAGCATGTAGGACACATTCGTTCCCTGATCTGAGCAGAATCTGGAGCTGAAGGCGACAGCTAACGCCATGTCTCGCATTGTCACTATCGCTTGTTTGCATGCAGCACCACCGGGAACAACCGAGGGCACTTTCGTCGCGAAAGTCGCCAAATCTACACATTCCACCCAAAATCCCAAAATGTCTGTGCCAGGCAGCATGACCTTGAAAGAATTGAAAGACTGCGAGTGGTCAGGCTGTTTTCGATGCAAAGCCGTGTGTTCAGCTCCTGTTCTACTCACACATGCCATGCTCATTGGGCGAACTGCCGCATTGATGTTCTCAGTTTGTTAATAGCAAGACTCGCTGATTTCGGGTGCATTTGGGCCGGGTCGCTGTTCTGTCAATGTCCGCAGACTGTCATCTTGTCCATTAGGCCAGTTTCCATGAATGTTCGATCCTACTGGTTTAGGCAAAACATGATGGCTTTACGAACATAGGGCTGAAGGTTACCTCGAATCGGATGGAGATGAAAGGCATGAATCGGATTCGAGCCGGTGTTGCAAACGATGTATACTTCTGTTTGTTTGGTGAAATGTACGCACATTTCTACGGTTCGCCCAGGTGCATGTTGCAACCATGCTATTCCAAGTGAGCCACGTGGTTATTTGCACGTTGTTGAAGCATATTGCCGGTTCTTGCGAAGTGGGACGAGTGGACGAGTGGTCCAAAGGCGGCCTTTGATGGTTTCTTCAGCTTCACCTGACTCCCAGGCTTTTGATGGAGCCATAGAAAGAAGGTAGAAGGTTTTACAATTCGTGTCCAGCCAGCAGACATGACATTTGTCCAACATGAAACACAAATGCTAAGTCGCAGCATAGCACGACAGGTCGTGGACACCGTCATGTTGTTTTGCTCGGTTGTCACTTCAAATCATTCGGCTTCGCCCATGGCTTTTCCGGAACCTGCACCAGGAAGAGCCGTGCAATTAGACAAAGCACAGAGAAGGCATCATGGCACAACTGCTTCATGTTGAAATACATATCAGCAAGTTCAATGACTTGTGCTTGTTGGGCTCAGGTGGTAGAGGACACTTTGGTTTTGACCGATCAAGCGAAGCAGCATTTCGATATTTCGAGCCGCATGTCTGATTCTGCTTTGACAGATTGTCAAGACGGTTTCCCTTCCTTGCACGGCCACCGACTGGAGGCCGACAAAACATTTGGGTCTTGAAGCCTGCGGGAAAGAGTCGAGGACCGGGTTTGGTTACCGTGTTGACCCGTGGACGATCTTGGCAGCTCACCTACGAAGAACAACTCGGATTCAACCTCTTTTGTGGCTATCCTCCCAGCTCTTGCTTGAAGCTTTTCGAGGCTTTGGAAGGGCTAATTGACCTGGGACCGTTCTGGTGGACTGATCTGCAATATCGAGCAATCCAATGCAATATGATTGTGACATAGGCACTTGCAAGACAGTAAAGTACAATACCATGCAATACATCCAACCCAATAATACGATGCAATACCGTACAATGCATCCAATACTACACCTGCATCATGCATGCATGCATAAATGCATGCATTCCTTCATTCCTTCATTCCTTCATTCCTTCATTCCTTCATTCCTTCCTTCCTTCCTTCATTCCTTCATTCCTTCATCCATCCATCCATCCATCCATCCATCCATCCATCCATCCATCCATCCATCCATCAATGCATACATACATTCATTCGTTTAGTAATTCATTAATTCATTCATTCATTCATTCATTCATTCATTCATTCGTTCATTCGTTCATTCGTTCATTCGTTCATTCGTTCATTCGTTCGTTCATTCACTCACTCACTCACTCACTCTGACTTACACTCACTCTCACTCTCACTGTCGCTCTCACTCTCACTGACTCACTGACTCACTGACTCACTGACTCACTCGCTCACTCGCTCACTCGCTCCCTCACTCACTCACTCACTCACTCACTCACTCACTCACTCACTCACTCACTCACTCACTCACTCACTCACTCTCTCACTCACTCACTCACTCACGCACTCGCATAAGAGCGCATACTAGTGCATACTAGTGCATACTAGTGCATACTAGTGCATACTAGTGCATACTAGTGCATACTAGTGCATACTAGTGCATACTAGTCCATACACAAACGCTCACAGAAAGAAGCAAAGAACCACAGGCGACGGAAGAACGAACGAACGAGCAAACAAACAATCACACAAGTAAGCAAACAAACAATCACCACGCAAGTATGCAGACATGCATACATGCATGGATACATGCCTGCATACACGCAAGCATGCATTGCATACATACGTGCATGCAGGCACTTTGCTTGAGCTGATTTACAGACGGAGTTTCCTGAGCCCAGCCAACTGAGGGAGGATTTATATGTATATATATATATATATATATATGTACATCAACTTGTTTAAAGTGTTAGTGCCATATTAGCAATATTGTAGGCACCCTGTTAAATGTACCACATGTAATCGCATGTAATCAAGTGACATGTTCATTCAAATTCCTTGCGGGCGAGACAGCATGTTCTGCAGAACATCCAACCGGAGATAGGAGAGAGGCCGCCTGTGATTTGTTCGTCACCAGGATATATTTGGAATGATTGTTTGCTGGCAGTCTCACAACATGTCTAAGGTTTTGCAAATCGGGTTTGGCTTCAACAAGGTCGGTCCGCGGATTTTTTTTAATAGGTCATCCAAGTCGGGGAATGTGGCCCAGCTTCCGTTGCTGCTATTATTGTTGTCGTCGTCGTTGTAGATGTAGTTGCTTACTGCCGTTGCCGTTGTTGCTGAGGTAGCTCTTTGGGGGGCATGGATTGAGCGCCAGGCTTTAGCAAGATTCGACTGGGAGTTTGGCTGGAGAAGCGCCATCGGGAGCAGACCGTTGCCAAGTCTGGTCCAAATCTCCGCTGCTATCTCCCGTATTTTGCATCCAAGATCTGTTGGAGGTTTTAGGATGTTTTAGGTTCGAGTCTGGTCCAAATCTCCATTGCCATCCCCGCTTTGCATCCCTCCGGTTTTGAGAGAGGAGAGTTAGCATCTGAGAATTTGGCAGGACGTGGCATCCAGCTCTCTGCTCGCTTGGAGAAGATCCAGGAGATTGCTTTGGGACGAGGTGCCGAGGCGCAGGGCGTGGAATGGCACCAGTACCACGCACACTGGTGGTGTTCGCCAAGCTTTCTTGGGCCCTTTGAGGAGCGGGCACGCGCCTTCTCAAAACCACACGCATGCGACTAAAGATCCAATGATCGCATGATGGTGGACCCCAGGCCACGTACCAAGAAAGGCATTCCCCACTGAATTCTGTGCATTCGTGTGCCAACTGCTTGCTTGAATATCGCAGATCCGCGGGTATGTTTTTGTGGTGGCTCAGCTGGAGGGGACTCGCGGCAGGACTCGCACGAAACATGAAGGGCTGCAACTCCGCCATGGAAAGGAATCAGAGTCAGTGAATTGCCCCGAGTGTCCTACAAGTTCACAAAGTGGCTGTGGGTCAAGAATGGGTACCCTAATGGAACCCTGGTAAATGGCAAAATGGACCAAAACCTGCGGTCCCCTGGTGCTTTAATTTTGACCCATACCCAAGTCTTGACGTTGACCTGTGTGCCTGTATTATGTTGTATTCCCCGCTCAATTGTGGTGGAATACTTTGGGTGTGATACTCAGGGCATCATACTTAGGTGACGTTGCAAGCGGTACTTTGACACACCTTACAAGTGAATAAGGTACTCCAATCTACCCGGTCCGGATGAAGCATCCCAGAGACGCATCATGCAACGAGGAAACAAAGATAAATAGTGGAATACTTGGGATCACGTGCGGTTTGACCTGTAATTTGCAGCCATGAGCGACGGAGACTCTGATGTAGAGATCACCAAGGAGCGAATGCGATTCCATCATTGCCGTGTCGAGTGACCCTGAAGTGCGGTATGCTGACTGCCACATCCCAGAGTGCTCTAGGAGAAAAAGGAGAAGAAAAAGGACAAGGAGAAGAAAGAAAAGAAGGATAAGAAAGGTAAGAAGAGGTTGGGATCCTTCCTGTTTGCGCAATGCAAGCCCAAGCACTTTTCATTGAGCTGGTTTGTGGACAGTGGCAGAGCGGATTCGCCGCGCAGGAAAGCTAGCTCTTCCTCGTCGAGCTCCTCATCTGACTCCTCGTCTTCCAGCTCTTCCTCCTCAAGTTCTTCAGCGAAGAAGACGCTGTGGCCGCACGAATGCCCAAATCCCGAGCACAGCCTCATTTGAACTTTGAGACTGCAAGCGACTGGAAATCTCTACTTGAAACAGTCCAGCGCAGTCACCGCAGTGGTTGCCCAAAGTCCGACGGCTGTTGAGGTTCCATCAGATTCGATGAGTTGAGCCGTGCATTTTGCTGGGAAGCAGTGCAGTGTGGCATAAGCTGCTTGCTGGCCTTTCGAGGAAGAAGGACAAGAAGAAAGACAAGAAGGACAAGAAAGGTAAAAAGGAGCCCTCGCATGAACGTGCCGTTCGATGCGGTATACATACATACATCATGGTGTATGAAAAGTGGACAGGCCTGTTGGCTGCCAGTGGTTCCAACAGCTATGTAGGTTGTTTGCACTGAACAATTGCTCAGCACGGTTCATCCGGCGTTCAAATTGAAGTCTTCGAGCCACGGGGCTAACAGAGCATGATGCAATTCATTGTGCACTTGTCCAGCTCCTAGTTCAAGGAGAAGAAGAAAGACAGCAAGTCTAAAAAGGAGAAGAAGGACTGACGGACTTCTGAATTGGCATGTGGAAGTCGAGGGTCGCTTGTAGAGCCTCCAATATATTCAACTGTGCCAACCTGACCATTTGAGCGCATCTAGCACTGAACTCCATGCCCAAGGGAAGACCTGGGATTTGATGCGCAGGAAGAAAAGCGTGCAAAAAAGTTGGAGAAGACCGCCAAGAAGCAGGAGAAGAAGGCACGCGTTCGGACGATGCTTGGGATTTGTCATTGCAGGAAAGTCAAGTAGCCTGTTGTAGGATGCGTTAGCTCAACCGGATGTGCTGCTCGCTGATCTGGAAAGTCAATGGCATAGATATATCAATGGCTAGGTGCCCAAATCAGGCTGCAAGATAGATGCGAGCCCTGCACGTAAACCAAGCACAAACCGTTCTAATTTGCAGGGTGTCCCTTGATCCCTACCTGCGATACTTAGGAGAAGTGTAGCTCAACCGGAATTCAGGAGAAGAAGCGCCTCAAGGCAGAAGCAGAGAGGCAAAAGCAGCTAGAGGAGGAGGCAAAGATGAAGGCACGAAGGGCAGATTTGAGGATAAGCCGTTCGCTACGACCCGATCTTGGGCCCTATGAACTGCACCGTGAACCCTTTGGATCCTATGAACACTCCATGAAGATGTATTGATCCAAGATGTGTCGGTGTGGTTGGTCAACAAGTTGACTCACAATTGCCAGAGGCTGGCGCTGCGGCTTTTTTGTGAACTTGGCGTATGGAGGCGATGCCCTTTAGGTGCCCGCCTTCAGTTGAATTTGCCGCGTGTCCCATCTGGCCAAGAATTTTAACAGGGAACTACCTCAAAAGTGATTGGTGGACATGAATCCCCACCCAAAAACTGACGTCCACCAAAAGGTCACGAAATAACATTCATAGCCATTTGGCCATAGTTGAACCCCCCCCGGCGCGCGTGAGGCGGCACTCGAGGCCATGGAGCTGGAGAAGCAGCGAGAGAAGGAGGCGAGCAGAGTCAATTGGCAGCTATTGGCAAACGCACCTAGCGCCTTGAGCTGCTCAGAACGCAATACGGACCGTTCTGGTTGAGAGGAAATGATCTCTTTGAAGAGTCTGTCCCCTCTCGAACGTAAGCCTGAGCATGTTTTCTTCCCGAGCCGCAGCTGCGGGGTCTTGCTTGTTTTTGTGATATGTCATGTCAGCTCCAAGTTGTTGAGCCACGGTCTGTGTGAACACAATGCTGCTACCTGGCGTCTTGCGATGGGCTGTGGTTGTTCTCCATACCACGCACTCGTTTGCATGCTTGCCGGCCAACTGGCTGGCATCCGCGACCGTCGCTCTCGTCGCTCTATGCCAGGCCAAAGAGGAGAAGAAACGCAAAGAGCGAGAGAAGCTAGCAGCTATCAAGGCCTGCCAAATTGGTCAACCGTTTTGGGTGTTTGGCATAAAACAGGGCAATCGTGACTGAGACGGCTGTCCGGCCTTGTTTGGAATTTCTTATCAAGGAGGATGAGTCTGAGATGGGCTGGTTTTGGAAGAGACCTTGAGACTTCAGTGAACCACGGTTGACCCAATCCATTCCGCAGCTGTCATCAAACTACCAGACGCCCAGACTGCACCTTAAGACTGGCAATTTAACGTCCCGGTCTTTATGTGGAGATGGTTTCTGGATGTCTCCCCAGGCCCCGTTAATGACCCTTGGATAGTCACAATTGTTGCCGTGCTGAACATATCTGTCACAGGACGAACTGTGCTTGGCTGAACTCAACAATTACTGAGCAACACTATGTGTACGCCAGGGGAAGTGTCGGATTACGCTGTGCCAGATAGAGTCAGAAGGTTCAACTGCCTTGCAAGAAAAGTAGAGCCTTTTCACTCCCTTCTCACTCCCTAGCTTGACATGGCAGGGGCATTGGACACTCTTGTCTCACAAGAGTCCCGCCGTGCAGTGCCAGGCCGAGCTCGATAAGGCTGGGCCGTAGTGAAGTCGAGGGTCAGATGGCTGGAGAGCAAGATCAAGTGACTCGCGGTAGCGTCGGATAAGGCAAAGCTGACAATGGGTGCAGAAATCATCAAACTCATACCACCTCGGCATGATTCGGGGGATCATCGGGGGATCAAACCACATTTTTCAGGGGATCAACAGAAAATATGTCCTGGTCAGCCCAATTTCGAGATCCGCTATGCCAAAAACAGTGCGTCGCATGTCCGGGGCCGACATGGAAACCCCAGCAGTTTCTGATGCTTGGCCCGGCAAAGTTCACTTTTTGACTTTTGAGGAAGGAACGTTCTTTCCCGGGGTGTTCCTTGCAGCAGGGTTCACGAGCAGTGCTTCTGCGCTGCACCTCAAGAGCGTTCAGGATATGGCAAACAACTCATACAGCATTCATGTTGTTCACAATGCGGACATCATGACGCCTGTGCATGAGTGTCAACAAATCATCTACCATAGGCTACGTGATGGGCTGCATGCAAGACCATGTGAGAGTCGTCCGAAAGGTCCTTGTATTGAGCTATGAAGGGGAAGACCTTTTGATCTTAGCGTTGACCTCCGCGAAAGTTCCGCGAAGGGGGTCGGGAAAGTGTTTTTTTGTTTCGCGAAAGTTTTGTGTAGGGTGGCTTGCTAACAGGAAGCTGGAATGATGAACCATATTTGCCGGCAGTGCTCGCAGAATGCCCGCAGACTAAAGTTGGTCTGGGAATGCGCGGCCTGAGGGTTGCCGCTAGAACACGCCACTGCAAAAGCAACCCCAGCCAGCAGAAACCAGCTTGTGCGATATTTAAAGCTTTCGGGTCAAGTTGATTGCAACTTTCCAGCTGGATGTTCGCGAATGTTTGGCGCAAGATCCGCAAAAGTTTCGCGAAGTCGACAGACCTCCCCGCTAGTTTGTGGACTTGAGGCCAACGGGTCCTCTTGCGTGCTGCCTCGCGGCTTGTGAGCTGCGGAAGCGCTCTGCGCGTGCTAGTTTGGAACTGAAAGGTTGCGACTTTCGAGCTAGGGCTGCGGAAGTTAACTTCGTGTACTACTTTCGTCTTGAAAAGTTTTGACAATCGGGGCGAGGCTGCGGAAGTTTAGTTCGTGTACGACTTTCGTGTTGAAAAGTTGCGACTTTCAAACTGGGCTGCAGAAGTTTTTCTTTTCGTGCTACTTTCGCGTTGAAAAGCTGCGACTTTCGAGCTGGGGCCGCGAAAGTGTACTTCGTGTACTACTTATGTGATGAATGTTCTGAAAACAGCCCCGCGAACGTTGCGCGACGGGGTCCGCGAAAGTTATTTTGTTTCTCGCAAAGATGGCGGTTTCCGGAACAAGGAATTCCAGACAACTGTCATGTATGCATTTTGTGCATGGCGCAGACAGCAATAATCGTCATCCCGGCTGCGATGCGCTGCAGGCCGAGCAAGAGAGGCTTGCCAAAGAGGCCGAGCG